TGGCGGCTACAGAGGAAGGCTGTGTTACTTGCATTATACAGAGCGTTACAGGCAGAAAATGAGTCGGATAACTCTTTGTCATTGAGCCCATAATTTAATGATGGTGTGGCCTGGGATTGCAGTGACCAAAGTGTGTAAATGTCCCCGGGGCTCTACCGACTCTCCCTCCCTCCCCTCACACGTGGAATCTGCTGGGCCCTGCAAGCCTGACTTTCTTCCCACACATCAAGTTCCTCTCACACACTGATCCGTTTTTTATGGGGACAGTGCCCCATCTGCGAACCTTAAGCAGCCATACTGCTATGCTGCAAGGGCCTCTGATACCACACACCCTGCTCAGGCGACTGTTCTGGGCCCCTTCCCTCAGCTTTCCCAGCCCAGGACTTCAGGGGAGGGTTCAGAGCACACTCATAAGGCAGGGATCCCTTGTTCTCTAGTTTGCATAGAAGACTTTTGTATTGGGTTGTGTTGTCTTTGCTGTTTCTGGTTTTAATTTGGGCTTTTGGAGGACTGGTGAGGTTCTATTCTAGAAAAGGGGAAGGAAATATTGAAGGTCTGAGAGCAGTTGCCTTTGGGTGGAGCATACCCCCAACCCCACCCCCCTCTGACTAAAGGATAAAAAATGTTCCCTGGAGATGCTGACTCCATCCGCGAGGAGGCTGTTGCCAGGCTTGTGTAGAAACTAGCAAGTCTGTCATTTTTCCTGGAACTCCTATTTATTTTCTGGAGGGCAGCACAGCCTGGTGGGTAAACATAGGTCGGGAGGGGCTAGATAGACCCCTTAGTACATGCTGATGCATGGAGAAATAGGCAAGCCTAGTGTCTAAGCAAGCTGTCGGTTGCTCTTTCAAGGTGTTTCCTCTAAAGCCAGTTTTGAAGCACAGAAACCAGAGATGTCCACATGTCTAGCTGTGGTTGTTTGGTTGGCTGGTTGGATAGATGGAAGGGTGGATGAACAAATGGACAGATGAATCATTGGTTGGTTGGCTTTTGTTGTTTTGAGACAGGGTCCATTACATACTCTAACTTGGCTTCAAACTCTCTTCCCTGTCTCCCACGTGGTATGCGGGGATTACTGTCTACACCACCATCACTAGCCCACTCTGAGTTTCAGCCCCCCTGGGGCTCTGCAGGTTTCATTAGTTGGTGTCCTGTGGGCCATCTGGGATTCTGACTTGAGATGAACGTGCTCAGCCCCACCCTCCCACGCTCCTTTGCTCTTGGAGCCTGCCTAGCAGATGATGCCCATTCATTTGCTCTGTGCCCCAAATAAGGCTGAAGGGCTATCTCTGCAAAACAGAAGGACAGAAGTTTAACCGGGGGGTCGTGGCCTGGTGGGAGTTAGGGAGTGTTAGCGACCCAATTCTAGGTGTAGGTTTTCCAGTCAAGTGTTAGCAATGAGATGAATTCCAAGCCTCAAGCTGACTGCAGGCCCAACAGGCTGAGGAGACATGGCCGTGAGAAAGCAGAGGAACACATCCCCGATGACTTGGTACAGGAAGGACGACGCCACAGCCCCAGGAGGAGGACACATTCCAGGAGCTAGAAAGGCCAGCATGCTTCCCCAGAACATGGCGCAGCTGTAATGTGGGCACAGAGAGACCAAGCTGGACTTCCAACCTATCCAACTCTAGAACAAGCACGTTTGCTTAGTTAAATGTATACTGGTGTGCTACAGTAATGATGCGCTGACAGATTCCGTGGGAGATGGGAACCAAGAGTGTGGTGACCTAGAGAGTCCTGCTCACCCGGGGTCCACCCCTTAACTCCCACAGCCTCGGTCTCCATCCGTGGTGTACTGCCCCTGCCCTCTGGAATCATGGCCGTCTTTCTGCGTAGACCATGCTGGCTTCAAACTTGCAGCAATCCTCCTGCCTCTGCCTCTCCTCGGCACCATCACACCTGGCCAGGCATACAGACTGAAGAATGAAGAATCGCAGACAATTTTAAAGGTGGCCCTGTGGGTTCATTATGTGGATGGTCGAAGTACACACGTGTTGACAGTCAAGAGCCTGGAACCCTCCTCTGCCAGCAACCGTATGTTTCCATCCTCACTCTGCACCACAGAGCTGCCTTTCGCTTGCATTAATTACCCAGACACACACCAAATCTGTGGAGAAGTGGACATGGCCAGCCTTGAGGGACGCAGGCCTGGTGTTCATCGTTGCTGCAACCGTTCGGGACTGTGTGGCCTTCCTGGTTCCGTTTTTATTTCCATCTCAAGTTTAGGCCTCGGGACAGGTTCTCTCCTGTCTTACCCCACCCACAACAGACTGCAGTTGAGAAAGACGAAGATGCCATGTCTAAGAGTGAAACTGACAGCCTGTGCATCCAATCTCCTTCTCTGAGGGGCCCTGGAAGCCCCTGATGGCTCAGTTTTTCCTCTCAGGGCAGGTCGCTTGCTCAGGACTGCGCATGAAGAACCCAATACTGAGGGCAGTTGTGACCACTGGGCTCTCCCACCATGGACTGGAGCTGCCTGTGCTCCTGTAAATCTGCCACTGACCCCGTCATATCCCCTTCTAGGCTCGATTCTCTCAGACCCCACACCAACACCTCACAGGACTGATTATGGATCCGCATTATATATTAACAGCGCCTAAAACAAAAGCAAACTCAAGCTCACAGCAGTGAGACCCTGTATGGGGAAGGGAAGGACAAACCACCCCTCAGACATCTTCTGTAACACTGAAATTCGCTGTAGCCTTCTGAGGTTGACTCAAAAAAAGAGGTGATCATAAAACCTTAGCAAATTCAACTTTGTAGACAGCCCCAAGTGGGCAGGGCAAAGGTAAGAAAGGACACTTTGAACAAAGATATTCTCATGTCTCCATGTTCAGCCTAGCCCTGTTGACCAAGGACTGTCTCACAGGCCACAGCACGCAAGCACACGGAAGTTTGGGGTGGCTGCTCTAAGTAGTCAACCTCGGCGCTGCTGCCATTTGGAGACCAGTAACCCTCAGCCGCGAGGGTGAGGTTGGCTGTGAACCATAGGATGGAGCTCAGCACTGCAGGCTGAAGCCCACTAGATGCCAGTGGCGTCTCCCAGCCACGGCAGTCAAAGCGTGTCCTGGCATGGCTCCTCTGTCTGGCGTGGGAGGTAGGAGGCCAAACACCCTGGTCAAGAAGAACCAGTACACAGACAAATGGCTGCCTACCCTCCACAGGGTTGGGAAAAGGCAGCGAGTGATAAGAGCGGGTGGGCCCTGAGTGTGTGTCCTTCTCCAGGAGACAGGTGCTCAACTAGAAAACCAGAAAGGTGTCCTGATTTTGTCTGTGGGTTTGCATCTACCATACGTATGTGATCCTCATGTGTGCCTAGAGGTCTGAGAGGGGTATCGGGTGTCCTGTGTTATCTCTCTCTTATGCCCTTGAGACAGGGTCTCTTCGCTGAATGTGGAGCCAGGCTGGAGATTGGCATGCCCTAGGAACCCTCCCATCTCCATCCCCTGAATCCCTGAGGTCACAGGCACACATGGTGGCAGCCAGCTCTTTATGTGGGTGCTGGGGATTTGAACTTGGGCCCTCATGCTTGTTCAGCAGTCACTCTTCCCTGCTAAACTTCCTCCCAGTCCCTAGGTTTTTTGTTTTTTTTTTCTTTTTACTTCAGCAGCTAATTCAGAGTTAAAACAATCTGAGTCTTACCCAGGAATAGATGTCCACAGACCTTCAGCAAAGGGGCAGCTGGGAAACACCACAGGCTCCGAAGTCCTAAGTCCCTGCCATAGTTAACTGAGGTTGTGTTTTTGGGTGGGGAGGGGAGGAGCCACAGACAATATGCAAATTAAGTATGGCAAGGCCCCTCCTCCAGTAAGCTTCATGTGTAAGCACTGGAAATTTAACCTTATCTAATTCACGTTATAAATATTCAGCCATTTAAAAATGCCAAACACCACTATTAGCTTATAGCTCTACACAAACAGCACCAAGACTGGTCTGGGGGCACATGTAGTCTGAGAGCCTTGGGCCACAGGGTACCTAGCTGTCTGCTATACCTCAGAGCCTGATGGAAAGGAGATGAAGACCATCGCCGGCATTGATGGAGCTGTTGCATGGTCCCCAGGGTCCTGGGAAGCTCTTTATCCTGAGCTCCATCATTTCTTACAGACTTTGCCGCTTAATGACTTCCCTGAGTCCTCCCAGCATCCTTTTTCTTTGACAGTAAGGACAGAAAGGCAGGTGGCCTTCTCTACCCACGGAGGCAACCCCCTGGATGCCCAGGGTAGAGCTGCTGTGTACTGCATGCCCCAGGCCCTGATTGTGAGCGCTGGGAGAGACCTTTAGCGTCTACTCTATAAGCACTCCTGGTCTTCGAGCCAGTGTGAGGGGCAATGTCTCAAAACAAAAGTCGCTGCAGGGTGGGGTGCCCACTGCTCCCAGGAACAGCACAGAGAGAGAGGAGCAGCAGGAGCTGGGAAATGGCTCACAGAGCAGGCAGACCTGCTATCTGGCCCACAGTCCATGCTGGTCTTTCTGGAGGGTTCTCAAATTTCTTGATGTGCCAGCCGTCAATGTGTAATAAACTTGGGGTGGATGGGATGGGTAGAGCGCTTGCCTAGCACAAACAAGACCCTCTGGGTTTAAGCCCCAGTGCGGCAAAATAGAAAACCAATAGAAATTGGAGATGAAGAGTCCCGGGAAGGGCGCTGATGACTCTTGAGAGGGAGCAGGGGCCCAGGAGCCCCGCAAACGTTCAGAAATCCACTCCACTCCCTGGCTTCTGCACCAAGAAGAGAAACCGCCCAGGGACAGGGTGGGGAAAGGTGGAGACCAGGGTCCCAACAGGAACAAGTACCAATGGAAACAACTGCTTTTCCCTGTAAAGGACTCCCTTCTTCCCAGCACAAGTTCACATCTGTGTCACCAAGTTCCAGGAAGTTTAGTTTAGCAGCAAAATGAACTGGGAGGGGTAAGGGCCAAAGACGGCTTCTGGAAGTCTCCCTGTCTTTGCTAGGGAAGGGATCCATTCAGTCTCAGAGGGCCTCACATCACAGCGGCACTTAGATTTCTCTCTTGCTGAGCTCTGGGACAGTCTCATGCACAAGAAACTCCCTGGTTGTCACTGAGTTTTTCAGATATGGATTCGGAGCTTGCTCCTCACAGAGAGGCTCTGGTTCGGGACTCTGACTGGAAGAGAGAGGTTGCTCGTTGAATTCTGTGTATATCTCTTCTGTCATTCCCAAGCACTGGTTGTGGGCATCTCCAGGAGCAACCTCGGTTAAAACTGAGGGCTCCTTAAAACTTTTCCCCTGGGGACAGTCAGGCCTAGACGGAGAGGTCACGTATTCATTCGCCTCTCCTCCCAAAATGCTCTCCTGACCTTTTCTAGCTTCCTCTGTGGAAACAACTTCCAGAAAATTCTCAAAGTTTACCACCAACTTGTCAATGAGGTCGGCGGGGACAGAACACGGTTTTAAGGCCCTGTCTTCTGTGTTCCCAGAGTTTCCAGATTCCTTCGGACTTGACCTCCCCTACAAAAGGAAAGGGGACACCCCAGAGTCATGCAAGCCGAGCATCCTTAGATTCTGGACACAGAAGCCCTGCCCCCACACAGCCCCTCATCCCTCACTGGTCCAGATGATGACCCACCAGTCACTTCCTCAGGAGCTTGGCAACAGGGCTCCATTTCCTGAGAAGTAGCAGCCCAGGGCCCGCCATCCTAGACAGCTCAAGGCTTCCCACAGCATATTATAAATCTGGACGTGAGATGAGAGCCCTTAGGGGAAAACCATCAAGGCAGCGCCACCTTGCAATGAATCAGTGCATGTTGTAGAGGCCTGGCCTGCACACTCTATGCAAAGTCCAATTCACCAACTCAATAAACAGGAGAGCGAAGAGGTCAATATATAACACAAATGAAGGAAAGAGCTAAAATAGTTCATTATTACAAAAACGCCTCTGGAAAAATAAATTCTAAGTTTAAAAAAAAAAAAAAAAAGACTAACATTTTAAATTCTTGAATCAAGAAAAACCTGCAAAGGGACGTTTAATAACAACTTAAGAGCTACAGTTCACTGGGCTGGTTTATACTTAAGGGGGAGATTCGTAACTTAGACACTTTTCAAGTTTCCTGGTTAAAAATGTACTTAAAAGGGGGATTTCTACTTGGAAAAATACGCCAGGAACCCTGCTGCCAATGAAACAGTATCTGACTCTAACTCTCGCAGTTGGAGCTGCCTTTGGGTTGCCATTTCCCACAGTAACTCTGGCCCCCAGATTAATGTGCTCTTGGCTGTTTTTCAAATGGCCAGAGTTGACAGCCAGGTCCTCTGGCTCTGCATAGCAGAGCTGTGAAACAGCCCCCTTGTGTGGCGTCCGTCCAGGGCCGCCCGATGTTGGGAACACCTCAGGCCCTGCCGACGCCCTTTCTCTAGTCCAGAGCGTGTGTGGAAATTCACAGTGGGGGCCGATTCCACCGGTCCACCCCCCCTTCTCTTCCCTGGGTCTCTCACACTTGGTTCTTTCCCTGTGAACCCCGAGGAAAGCCCGCCCACTCCCATCCACCTCCCCCAGCCAGCCTGCAGAGTTTCCTGGACAAATCCCACCCAGCCGTGGGTACCTTGAAATCATCTCTGGTCCACGTGGCTAAACTACTTTCAGCGGGGTTGGGAACATCAGGACAACACAGACGAGTCAACCTGCTATTAAAAGATGAGATTTCAGATGAGGTTAGCGTGGGGCACGGTCCTTGTGTGGTGTGTGGCTAAGCTAAGGGTGAGGCTGGACTCCCTAGTCAAGAAGAATGTGGTTATTCGAATTAGAGTGCCCCGCCCCAGGCTCACATGGTTCAATACTGGACCCCAGTTGGCAGAACTGTGTGGGGATGACTAGTGTGCTACTGAGGGCCAGGCCTCGATGTTTCAGAAGCCCACCCATCTGTCTCATATGGCTGTGTCTGGGGATGTGGGCGCTCAGCTGCTGCTCTGGAGCCAGTCCAGCCTCATGCTCTCAACTATACCTATCATGGACCCTAACCTTCTGAAACCATAAATTAAATTAATAATTTAATTAATAATTTAATTTAATTAATTTAATAATTAATAATTTAATGATTAAATTAAAAGTGTGTAAGTTGCCTTGATGGAGTGTCTTATCATAGCTATCGAAAACAAAAGATAGAAGGCAACTGTGAAACTCCCTATTCAATAAGAGTGAGCTTCCACACTCTTGCCTGACGGGAAACCTGAGCCATTGTCTGTGGAACAACACTGAAGGAGATGCACGCTTCCCCCATGGAATTATATCCTTACATCCTTTCTCCATCACCCCTGTATCTGCACCCTGGTCCTGATGTTAGAAACTGCATTATAGTCACCCTTGGCAAATATAACAACTACTACTAACTACTCACACCTCCTCATAGCGGTTCCCAAAGTATGTTCCCAACTTCAGCACCCATCACCAGCTAATCAAAATCCGGATTCCCAGACTTTATTCCAGAACTCTGACTCAGAAGCCCTTGGGGCGGGACCTGATTTTGACATGTGCCAAGATAAAAGATTACCACTTAAGAGCGTGATGTTCAAAAATGTGTGCTGTGACTTGGCTGCGCCATACTGTCGGTAATCGAGGTGACATTAGCTTAGTCACAAATGAATCACAGCTGCTGGTCTGAGCAAGCTCACGGGGCAGTGTAGGGCTGCCTAAGCTGGCTAACTGGATGAGAACCCAGCTCCAATTCCAGGGGTCAGGTCTCTGTCCACTCTAACCTCAGGTGGTAGGCAGATCAGCAGACAGGCAAGGTACTCCTTGGCCCCAGAGGACTCTAGACTTGGTGTCCCGATCTGTACAAATACATCCTCGTCTTTGTCAGAGTCCTGATGAATCTGAGGGTGTGCCCTTTAATTTTTTCCACAAAGATGGACCAAACAAATGAAAGAATGACCCCCACCCCCAGGGAGGAGTACCCTCTGACACCACAATGCCTTCCACTGGTTTTCGCTGCTCGTTTTAAAGGCATCCACTGTCAATTATGAACTCACTTTGGCTTTTTGAGACCAGAGGTCAGTGTGAAGACACTAAGCAGAAGAAGGCCTCCTCCAACCAGAGATGTCAGGAGGATAATTTCCAAGACACCTTTGCAACAAAGAGAACAAAATACTACTGTCAATATAGTTCCCCAAGTCATTGACAAATCATTTAATTTTGCACTATTTTTCAGAAGGGATCTCACTGTATAGCCCAACCTAGCCTGAACTCACTGTGTGGGCTGATCTAGCCTTAGATGTCACATCTTCCTGTCTCTGCCTCCTGAGTGCTGAGGGTGGCATGCAGACCATACCTGGCTAGATATGATCACAGGAAAGAGGCTGCCCTGTACAATTACAGGGAAAAGTACCCCAGAGAGACGAACCAGTTTTGGAGAGAGAGCAAGTTAGAGAGGCAGAGGCAGGAAGTGAAGGAAATGAGGTAAGGGGCAGGTAGTGACTGGTGGGCTTTCCCCAGGGAATGTAAGATTCAAACTGTGGCTGCTGTGGCTGAGTGGGCTATAAAGGGCCGAGAGAGACTTAGGGGCACTGGCTGTCCTTGCAGAGGACCCAGGTCTAGCTCTCAGCACCTACAAGGCTGCTCACAATTCCCCGTAAATCCAGTTCCGGGCGATGAGAACTCTCTTCGGACCCTGCAGGCTCTTACATGTGTGTGGCTCACATAAGTTCACTCAGCTACACATACACACACATTAATAATAATAATCTTTCAGAAAAAAAAAGGTGGCTCGAAGAGGATCCAGAACAGAAGTAGAGCGTTCTATAATCTAATCACAGACCAAGGAGAGACATTCCGGGTTCCAACAACACAGGATCTTGCTTTCAATTTGACCCTGAGGGAAAATTCCATGACCTGTCCTAACTTGTATGCAGCGCTCTGAGAAATCCAAATGATTGTTTTAAACGTTTCTCAAAGCAATGTCAAAGAGAATTCCAAGAAGCACCGCCAGCCCACAGAGCAGCCATATGCTCTGCTCACAGCTTCCAGAGCCACGAGTTCCCTTCATCCTTTTGGCACATAAATAACACGAGGATTTTGAGATGCTTCAAGAAGAAACTTTTTGGCTTATGCTAGTTATTGCAGAACAAGTGCCGCTTGTTTTTTGTTTTCCCAGTGTTTTGAGACAGGGTCCTTCTGTGTAGCACCGGCTACCCTGGAATCACTCTCTAGACCAGGCTTCCCCTTCTTTTTCTGTCATCTGGTCCATACACACTGCTTCCCCGTTAAATATCTTCCTTAGCCAACAACCAGATGAAACTACTGCATGCTAGCTACATTATGTGTTACATCTAGCAAATTCTTCTTGCTCTCTGTGTTTTCAATGTGAAAACTGGTAAAGTTGAACACATAAATCTTCCTGCTCACCATCCCACAGACGGTAGCATTAAGTCTCTTCCCCTTGTCAATGACCTTTGATCAATCAGCTTTTCCTTCCAAGGTCCCGCGGCACAACTCCTGACGTTTAGCTGGTGAGCATGACGCTCTCGCTCATGGAACTAGCCGTGACTGAGGCTCCCCCAAAGGTTGCCTATCAGGAAGGGGGAGAAAATGACCAGCCTGTCTAACTCAGCTCTCAATGTACCTGCTCCTCTGCAACCCCTTACTGCTCACCTTCCAGGGGGGTGGATGGAGCCAGAGCGTGTGCACAGGCGTCACACAAATGACATTTCCAACCCAAAGTAAACCACAAGGCCTGAGGCTAGTACTCACTGATTGATGAGGTCCTGAAGTTTACTGTTCCCCCGCTGGCTCCCCCAGCTCCATTGTTGGCCACAACCCAAACAGTATAGGAAGTCCTTCGCGTCAGGGACCCCAGGTCGTACCGCAGGACATGGGAGTTAACTGTCATGGCTGAAGGGAAAAATAGAAGCTGAACAGTGCAGCGAGCCAAACTGAAAATGTGCATCGGTGCCGACCCTCCTAGCCCTGGCCCGCAGTTCTACCCGGCCCTCTCTCAACTTCTGCTCAACACAAGTCCACCAAGATGGACCAAAGACCCACACAGAAGAGCTAAATCTGTAGAGCTCTTCAAAAGCCAAAATAATAAATAAATCACAGCTTCGAACTGTTTTCAGAATAGGATACCCAAAACACGAGCAACTTTATAAGACAATATTAAACTGAACTTTATTAAAATTAAAGAGCTTTTGCTCATCAAAAGACGGTATGAGACTTAAATGACTACAAAATTAAACAAAATATTTGTAACATAAATTTGATAGGGAGCTTATAACTCAAAACCACAAAGACAACCCAATGTTACAATGGGTGAAGAAGTTAGGAGACCATTTCCCTGAGGACGATAGACAAGCAGACAACAGCTACACAGAGGGTTGCTCCAAACCTTGAGAGCTAGGGGGAAACACTTTTCTAAATGAGATACCTGGGACCCACATGCTGTCAGATTTATTTGTTTCATTTGCAGTGAACTTGAAACCTCCTGCATACTAAATAAGTGCTTAGCGCGTGAGTAGCGTCTGAGCTGTCCCCTCAGCCCCAACTCTTCTTTGAAATAAACCAAAAAGGCAATTGACGGATACAGTCCGGTGGTTGCCAGAGGCTGTGGGAGGAGGGAAATAAGGAGCTACTGATAGAGAGGAAATTGAGGAAGGTGATGGCTACACCATATTGTAAACGTTAAGACCTTAAAATGTTCAGTGCTAAATGTTGCATTATGTATGCTCTGCCACGACAAAAATCAAATTTAGCCTAAATGGGAATCCAAGCATAGCCCAGCACTTACGGTGTCAGGAGATACTATGGACTCAAGAATAAAGTGCCCAGGGCAGTGGGCAGAACTCATGCTTAAAGAGCTCTGCAGCAAGGCAGGTACACACCCGACAAGGTCTGTCCCTGCATATGAAGCCACTCTAAGCTGGGCAGATCCCACCAGAAATAATGCTCATCAAAGTCTGAGGGGCTGGGTCAAACCATTCCTTGATGGAGCGGGAGAAATCACATCAGTGTCTCCCCTCCAGGACTTGCCTACATTCGTCCTTAGACTTCTCCAGCTCATGAGGTGGTGTTCTTGACTACACTTTCAGAGAGGTACAAAGAGGCTAAGTATTTGTGAAGGCTACACAGGTCACAGCCCTGGAAGCCACCCCTGTGTCCGGGCTAGTCACATCATCTGAGGGGGAGTTTGCTTGACTTGCGCACACTTACAGAATTCTTTTCCACCTTCAGCTTGGTAAAATACGGTGTAATTGTTGATGAATCCATTTCTACTGCTCTTGGGAATCTCTTGCCATATGATTGTGGCTGTCTTCAGTCCGATGTTCTCCACCCTGGTCTTAGGACCTCTTGAAGGAGCTTCAGAGGACAGGGACATAGAAAACCAGGCTGATCACGCCCTGAAGATCCACCCTTGCCCCATTGTTCAAGCAAGACCCACAATGCTGGGGGTAGGATCAGGTGGTTGAATGGGGTGGGGAGGGAATTGTAGAGATTGCTTGTTTGTTCATTCATTCCTTCTTGTTTGTTTTCAGTCAGGCATCTGTTACAAGTGGTTTTTCCTGCCAGTCTGTCTGGACCCACAGCTGTGCCAGCCCCAAATAATACACAGAGATGCTGTATTAGATATCATTCTGTCGGCTAGTTACTAGTTTCTTATCGGCTAGCTCTGTCTTAATTATTAGCCCATATCTATTAATCTAAGTATTTCCACATGGTCTCATCTTACCAGAGAGAGGGGCTGGCGTTCTACTCTCTGTCCTCCATGACGGATCTCCTCCCTCCCACTTCCTGTCTCCTCCTTGTCTCCTAGTCCCGCCTATCTTGCTTTTCTAATGGCCATCAGTGCATTATTCATTAACCAATATGAGAAACACATTTACAGAATGACATCCCCCATCAGGCATCTTATATAACAAGGAATTTCAGAGTTCCCCCAAAATGTACTTTTTTTTATAGGTATTTTTATTATAGCTAATTAACATCCAGCTCTCATTCCTATCTGTAAAGCATAGCTAGGATCAGCTGAAGACTAACCTCCCTGGTCCAACTTTGCACAGCAGGAGATAGTTTCCAGTGTTGAATCTAGAAGGTATTAACGTTCAAAAGGATGAAATAAAGTCTGAGTAATGTGTCATGAGTCCATGCTCATTGTTTCATAAGCATCATTTGGCAGGCAGAAAGATAGCCCAGGTGGAAAAGCCTTTGCGTGCCAGCATGAGGTTCACCTACAAAGCCGCCATGGTGACCCATGCTTATATCAGAGCTGAGAGGTGGGATGGCCAGCCTGGACTAATAGGCAAGCCCCAGGTCCCAGAGCGACCCCCTTAAAAAGTAAACCAGGTGGATGGCCCCTGGGGCTGAGAAGCGAGGCTGACATATGACCTCCATACATGTGCACCAAGACACACTTGGCATGCACACACATGTACACACTCAGAGAAGCGTTTTTAACATGGGTATGATGGACTGGGTAGGCTCCCTGGACCGATCTTAGTTAGTGTTAACTTTGGTTACAGCTCTAGTTGCTGCTTTGTGGTGTCCTTGGAGGAATCGTTTCACCTCCGTGAAGCCCGGTGTCCCGTTTGTAAAGGTGAAGATTAAGGTGTTGTAGAAATGGACCTCACGACAACCCGGCATATGAATTTGTAGAATGTGCGCCCTGCAAGGCCATCCACACGTACCTCCTTCTTTGGCATAAGCTTGGACTGTGTATGGCTGGCCTACTTGCTGCCCCAACACTGGATACACTGATATGTTGTAGCACACGAGAGGCTTTAATTTATCTTGAGGCGAGAGGGGGTGGGGTGGAGAGAGAGAACAAGACTTGCGTAAGTACACAGGACAGCAGAATGAACAAAATGAAGGACAGTCCGTTTTCTAGGTGAGATGGCCACTACCATCTGCTCCTGCTGTAAAACGTTCCAAACTGACTAAATGGAGGGCAATCCTAGTAAAATCACAGCTCCGTCATGAACAGGGGAAAAGCCGGTCATCACTCCTCCATGGCTGACTTCATCACATGTGCTGAATAAAATTTAGCCCTGACGAAGCACACCCGCAAATACTGAATTCTAGGTCCTCTGCCTGCCTGTGTCCCGCCATAGACTTTTTGTTTGTTTTTGGAGACAAAGTCTCATGATACAGCACAGGCTACAAACCGCCGTGCCTGGCTAGCAGATTTCTTACTGTGGATTCCATTAAGTCCTGGGAAACAGCTGGACTGGAGAGAGCTTGACTCATATATCACACGGGGACTGGGCTTTCTTGAAATAAAATCTGACTTAGTCTGTCAGTCCCTGAGGAAGGGCCTAACTCTTAAATCAGATGGAGTTCTGAGGTAGGACAAATGGTTCCCTGAGTCTGGTGTTACCCGAGGATAAAGGGGCTCTCCTCAGGTAAGTGACAACTCATGGCCTCACAGCCGCTGTGAAGTGGGGAGGAGCCCACGAGACCCAGCCCCAGCCTTGATGGCTGACAGCCCAGGGAGAGTTAGCTGCCTCTAAGGGCGTGTCCCCACCCCCCAGGAGGCCAGGCACCGCCCAGTGACGGCCACAGACCTGAAGGGGAGGAGCCAGCCAGGGGAGGAGTCAGTCAGGGGGAGGAGTCAGGGGAGGGGCCAGCCAGGGGAGGAGCCAGCCAGGGGAGGAGCCAGCCAGGGGAGGGGCCAGCCAGGGGAGGAGCCGGCCAGGGGAGGAGCCAGCCAGGGGAGGAGCCAGCCAGGGGAGGAGCCAGCCAGGGGAGGAGCCAGCCAGGGGAGGAGCCAGCCAGGGGAGGAGCCAGCCAGGGGAGGAGCCAGCCAGGGGAGGAGTCGGTCAGGGGGAGGAGTCAGTCAGGGGAGGAGTCAGTCAGGGGAGGAGCCAGTCAGGGGAGGAGCCAGCCAGGGGGAGGAGTCAGCCAGGGGAGGAGCCAGCCAGGGGAGGAGCCAGCCAGGGGAGGAGCCCGCCAGGGGAGGAGTCGGTCAGGGGGAGGAGTCAGCCAGGGGGAGGAGTCAGTCAGGGGAGGAGTCAGTCAGGGGAGGAGCCAGCCAGGGGAGGAGCCAGCCAGGGGAGGAGCCAGCCAGGGGAGGAGCCAGCCAGGGGAGGAGCCCGCCAGGGGAGGAGTCAGTCAGGGGAGGAGTCAGTCAGGGGGAGGAGTCAGGGGAGGAGTCGGTCAGGGGAGGAGTCAGTCAGGGGAGGAGCCAGGCAGGGGAGGAGTCAGTCAGGGGAGGAGCCAGCCAGGGGAGGAGCCAGCCAGGGGAGGAGCCAGCCAGGGGAGGAGCCAGCCAGGGGAGGAGCCAGCCAGGGGAGGAGCCAGCCAGGGGGAGGAGTCAGTCAGGGGAGGAGCCAGCCAGGGGAGGAGTCAGCCAGGGGAGGAGTCAGTCAGGGGAGGAGCCAGCCAGGGGAGGAGTCAGCCAGGGGAGGAGTCAGTCAGGGGAGGAGTCAGCCAGGGGAGGAGCCAGCCAGGGGAGGAGCCAGCCAGGGGAGGAGTCAGCCAGGGGAGGAGTCAGTCAGGGGAGGAGTCAGCCAGGGGAGGAGTCAGTCAGGGGAGGAGCCAGCCAGGGGAGGAGTCAGTCAGGGGAGGAGCCAGCCAGGGGAGGAGTCAGTCAGGGGAGGAGCCAGTCAGGGAAGGAGTCAGTCAGGGGGAGGAGTCGGGGGAGGAGTCAGCCAGGGGGAGGAGTCAGCCAGGGGGAGGAGCCAGCCAGGGGAGGAGTCAGTCAGGGGAGGAGCCAGCCAGGGGAGGAGTCGGTCAGGGGAGGAGTCAGGGGGAGGAGTCAGTCAGGGGGAGGAGTCGGTCAGGGGAGGAGTCAGGGGAGGAGTCGGTCAGGGGGAGGAGTCAGTCAGGGGAGGAGCCAGTCAGGGGAGGAGTCGGTCAGGGGGAGGAGTCAGTAAGGGGGAGGAGTCGGGGGAGGAGTCAGTCAGGGGGAGGAGCCAGTCAGGGGAGGAGTCGGTCAGGGGGAGGAGTCAGGATAGAGTGGGTAAAATGTTTTGAACGCTCACATGAAATTGTCTGACTCAATTAAGACTTCCTTGTAAAAGCCTTCCTTTGCTACGTGCACTGTGATTAGCACTGGCAGGGTGGCCCGTGAGCGCCATTATTGCCTGCGTCTCCATGCACAGGTGTGGGTAAGCCTGTGTTTGCTTCTGTGCCAGCTTCGCCTGGGAAGGGTGAGAACCAGGGCAATAACGCAGCTTCCCCAGGGCCGCCCTCCTATTTGCAGCCTTTGAGGAGAATTGACGCTGACTGAAACGAAGCCTGCTGCCAGCTACCTTGCTCGATGCTCCAGGTTGTGGCCTGAGACACGGATTCCCAGGACAGGGCGGCGAACGCGGACTCTGCGGTTTCAGGGATCCACTCCACCATCCAAGTGTCCACCTCTGGGACGGAGCTGACCCACTGCAGCACCAGCAGGGGCTCGGCAAGGCGGGCCTGCACGCCTTTGATGCACTGGACGGCTGGAGAGACGGGAAAGGACTGAGCACAGCTGCCACCCTCAGCCCAATGCAGCAACGTCGGTCAGCCACTGCGGCCAGGCCACGTGACACAGAAACACATACAAAAGAGAGGGAGGGAGGGAGGGAGGGAGGGAGGGAGAGAGGGAGGGAGGGAGAGAGGGAGGGAAGGAGGAAGGGAGAGAGGGAAGGAGGGAGGGAGAGAGGGAGGGAGGGAGGGAGAGAGGGAGGGAGGGAAAGAGGGAGGGAGGGAGGGAGGGAGGGAGGGAAAGAGGGAGGGAGGATGGGAAATTGGAGCTGCCCCAAGCCAGAGCCTAGGGCCATACGAAGCAGGAAAGGTAAAGAAGGGTCCTCCTCTAGGGGCTCTGGGGAAGCATGGTCCAGTCCACAACTTGCCTTTTATATCCCCAGCCTCAAGAGGCACAGGACAACTTGTCCCTGTCGTTTTAAGCCGCCCAGTTGGCGGTAGTATAGTAAGGTAGTCCCTGGGCATAACTGGCCTGTCCTTCTTCCTCTGGTCTCCCGGAAGCACTTTCTTAACAAGTGATTTGGCAAGGCGTCCCGCCCTGAAGATGAATGAGTTTGGCTTCCAAACCTCACACTCTTCCTGCTCACCACTCCTGGAGCTCAGAAAGAGCCGGAGAGCCAGCTTAAGGTGCCGGGCATGAGGCTGAGGAGGACACATGGGGAGGCTGGAAAGGAGTTCAGAAACTGTGAGTCAGCCATGCAAGAGGGGAGGTCTGGCTCATTAGGGGTGCTGAGAGACGAGTTTCTAAGTCGTCCTACGCAATAAAGACTAATCGTCAGCTTCCTCTGCTCCTCCATCACCTGCCCCCGACATCACTCAAGAGTAAGAGGAGAATAAATCATCCCTGGAAGCAGGGAAGAGGGTGGACCTCGAGCATCGCTGATGTCTCACGACAGATGTGGAGACAGCCACCCCAGATCTAGCAAATACCACACTCAGAGTCATCCTCAACTCTCCCTGATGCTGTCCTGATGCCTGATGCTGTTCCTCTGCCAACTCACCACAGGTGGCTTTGCTTTGCCACACCCTATACCAGACCACTCCTTCCTGGGACGGCAGACACATAAAATTCAAGTAGGGGACCCTGAAGGGTTATCTCTGCCAACCCTCACAGAGGCTAATAACCATCCTGGCTCCCAGCATCTGTGACCAGAATCCCAAAATCGCCTCATGAACACTAATTTCAACAGTTTAGTTCGTATATACCATCTAGAATCGCACTGGAAAAATCTTGCACGGATTACAAAGGCTCCCTGGAGCTTTTCATCATGTAGAAGATAGATCTAACAGCAAGTGCATCATGGTCATTTCATGGCTGAGATAGCCTACACTGTCTTATCACAGTGCCTGACATAGCTTAACGCATGTCACGTGATGACCATATTAATCCAATAATACATAAGCATTAGATTGTTATTCCTTAACTTTCTCAGAGCTCATTTTGTTTTGTTAAACAAAAATGTGTAGTCTTAGTTCTCCGTGATAAATTCTTACAGCTACAGGCATGATGGACAGTATCTTTTCCGGTATCTACATTAACACACTTGTGCACTGCGCCAAATATTGCTGTCGCAGTGGTCACTGGCAGTCAAGGGATGATTTAAGCTTTCCTAGCCGTCTACTACAACGTTCTGCAAACTTCCTCGGTCAGAGCTGGACAGTAAGTGTTTTAGTGCTCACAGGACACACAGTTCACCATCACCTACTACACAACTGTCAGACAAAGACGGCCCAGAGCACACGTGAAGACGCACATGGCAACACTTCAAACTTAGTCTGGGACCATTACAGGCAATAGTTTCAATATGGTTTTTAAAATACCAGGTGAATTTAGCGTAACTTTAACATGCATTTTTTAAGTTGACAATCCATATCTAGTAGGAATGTAGTTCATCAGAACTCTACTGAGAACGATGATAGTGGGCTAGGGCTCTACCCAATAGAGAGATTTGCTGAATAGCACCCACAGTGTCCTGCCATTAGTCCCCAGGACTGGAGAGGGAGAAAAGGAGACAGAGACAAACAGACACTCGCAGACAACAGTGGTAACAGGAGCAGAGATGTAACTCAATTCACTGGTAGAGGGTTTAAGCCCGGATCCAGTCCGCGGCACAGCGTCACCCTGGTTTGGTAGAACACTTGGAAAGAAGGAACACAGGAGTCAGAAACTGAAGGCCACCCTCTCCCGTGTGAGTCTGAGGACAGCCCAGTTACATGAGACCCTGTCTCCACGCAAACAAAGATGGTAACGGCCAGCCTGGACGACATTTGCAGAGAGGAGGACCCCATTTGTTCCTCACTCATTGTGAGAGGCGCGTCCAGTTTACACCCATCTCAAAGAGCGGAAACAGCTTGCCCAAGCGCAGGGTCCTTGTGGAAGAGCAAAGATTTGAACCCAGGGCTGCTAGACTCCACAGACCACACCTCCACCCCCTGCTCTCTATGGCATCCCGTTAGGCAGCCATGGTGGGAACTGAGGTTAATTACTTAGGCAGCACTCCCATTTAACGAAGAGTGCATGCTCCAACTGCACATCATTTGTTGGAAACATCACTGGACTCCTAGACACTGGAACAAGGGTGCAAAGGACCAGTCGGGCAAGGTGGGTGGTGAGCACCTTTAATTCCAGCACTCAGCAGGCAGAGGCTGCTGGATCTCTGAGTTCGAGGGCAGCCTGTTCTACAGAGGGAGTTCTAGGACAGCCAGGGTGACCCAGAGAGACCCTGGCTCAATACTCTTAAACACTGACTCAATACTGAAAGGAGGAGGAAGTGTGTCAGGGTTAAGAGAAGGGGGAAGGATGGGCAGAAAAGTCTAGAGCGTCTTGTACAAACGCCGGAACCAGGCTGGGCTAAGCAAACAGGTATGAATTAGCGAGAACAATTCTTAGATATCTGTGCCAGCTGCTATGTTATTTGGCCAGAAATCTGACAAACAAAATCTGGCAAATGAACAAACAAAACCCTGCCCTCTGGGCCCACTCTCAAGCGTAGCTGGACAACACAAGCTAGATTGGCGTGGGAGGGGGGACGACAGAGAAGAAGAAAACTCTATGGGGGGGCTAAGGAGGATGGGGGGAGAGGGCGGATCTAGGAGGAGGTAGGAAAAGGAGATGGAGGTGTCAAATGCATCATATGACATGCTCAAGAATTAATAAAAATATTTAAAAATTACTGCCCTCATCAGGTGTGCATCCTCTTCAAGAAGAAAATGTTGGCGGGAGGGATGGATGGATGGATGGATAGAGGAAAGGAGGGAGGAATGGAGGAAGGGAGGAGGGAGGGGGAAAGGGAGGGAGGGAGGGAGTGTAATAAGTTTGACGGAGGAAGTAGAACCCTGAGGATGAGCAGCTCCAGGTGCAGATAGCAAGTTTGAAATACAAATCCCAAAGTGAGGAGGCTCGGTGGGTTGCTTGCTACACATGTGTGAGGGCCTGGGTCTGGGTCCCCGCACCCATGTAAAAGCCAGGTGTGGCAGAGCGTGTCTGCAATCAGAGCATGAGAGGAAGACAGGAGGCCCCAGAGTTTCCTGCCAGCAATTTAGTCAGCGAGAGACCCTGTCCCAAAAATAGTGTGGTGAGCAATAGAGGAAAGTATCAACCTCTGGTCTCCACAGTGGTGTGTGCTCACACGTGTGTACGCTCACACACAACACACATACACAGGCATGCACGAATCTATACTCACATTCGACCCAGGGATCACTCCCTCACACACAATCCAACAAGGCTTTTTATTCCAAAACATAGAAAATCAGGCTTTGCCACTTTGCCTGGGTTTGGTAAAACATTCAGAACTCCTAAACCTAAAGTGTAGATGCCAGGCGTGGTGGCTGGTGTCAGCAACACCATCACTCACGAGGCTGAAGCCGAGTGGCCCGTAAGTTAGAGGCCAGCTACCGAGTGAGACCTTGTCTCAAGAGAATTTACCTAGCAACTTACGGGCAAGTCCGTGCACACATACAAGCGGTGTTAGCTGGGCCATCAAATGGGAAAGAGAAGGAGAGCAGAGAGGAGAGTAAGCACAGAGCCCGGCAGAAGAGTTCAGGAGAGGATGCAGGCGCTGAGGACTCAGATATGACTGCTGTGTACGGCCCTGCCCAGAGCCCTTCCCTGTGGGCCAGAGTCACTAAGAGCAGGGCCAGCCTTTAAATTCCCAGCACAGGCTTTACTCCAAGGCAACTGTATTTCAGGATGGAAGGATGGGCTTGTTAGTTACCAGCAGGTTCTGTCTCCCCACGGCAACCTACAGAGCCCTTGTTGCCCCGACCCCTCAATTTGATTCAAGAGGAACAACTACCCGAGGGCACTGACTGCTCCTTCTTCAACCAGATGGGACTAGACACCCGAGGGAGAGGTACTTACTCTCCTCATGAACAGCTGGGATCCTCAGGACCGCCTCTCGGGACTTCCCAAGAGAATTAAAAGAAGTCACAGACACACAGTGTGTCTGGCCTGTCAGAAGCAGCTCATATTGCTGCTTAGTGACATTGTTTATCTCTGTAAGGTTGGTGCTGTTTTCTGGAAAGTACTGTATGTTGTAGCCAAGTGTTCTCTCCAAGACTGGGGCTCCTTTTGCCTTCTGTATCCAAAGAAAACAAAGGTAAATGCCAATACCAGAAGGAGAAAAAGGGACAGAGACTGTGATAAATGGAGCAATGTCACATTAGCCATCAGACACTAAGCTATGTTCAGGTCCAACACAAATAACTTCTGTTGTGTGGTGATGCCTGCCTTCCAAGCGCCAGGAGAGATATTTACCAAATGGTCCCTTGGTATCAACTCTTAACAAGAGTTCAGTTTCATGGATCCAAACTGGTACTAGCAAGCTGTGTACTTTCTTCTCTGTCCTTCATTCTACCATGCATAGGCAAAGGTATAAACGCTAAAAAGTGAAGGCATTCAGTTCCGGGCCAAAAGTCCAGAAGTTATCAAGGATGGTTGGGTAGCTGTGCCTTTATCTTTTACTTCCATAGTTACCCTTCTACAGAGGGAAGACAGCTGTCCTAGACCAAACATCCAGCTAGAAGGACCAAAATATTCAGGACTTCCCTGCCAGTCCCCTTAGCAGAGAGGCCAACATGCAAGCCCAGAGACTCTGACTCAGAATCTTATTTCTAGTCTTGAACTTAGACCCACTGACCAGACCAGATGTTTTCCTGTGAGTAAGCATATGGGATATTTTCTGGGAATTATGGGGACTGCAAGTCTTTTGGTACTTGTCACAAACATCATGGAGCAGAATAATTGGATGTGCGGTCAGCTAGTGTTTCAATCCACTTTGACCCAGCATCATCACCGTCCAGGAATTTCCCTTCCATTGATCACAACAATAAAAGGCCAGCTAGAAATTCTAACGGCAAGGGTCCCCTGTCTCTCCAGACAATGCCTTATCTTTGCTGTTATGGGCCTCATGTTTTATAAACTTTGTGAGTTTTATTTGTCTGCTCATTTTCAGTGCTGGGAATCATGCCCACAACCTTACCAGTGCTAACCAAACACCCCACCACAGAGCCCATCATCTTCACTATGTGTACAAGTCAGTGATTTTTCAAGACAGTCATAAAAATCAACCTTTATAACTACCAGCCTCTGCTAAATAAATTGAATTCTTAGAAAACCCTCTCCTACTGAGGCATAGACATAGAGACCAGTCCTCCAGCAAGAGGGAGGAGGAGGCAGGCAGGAACGTCTGGCTACTTACTTCCCGGGCTGGCCTCTTGACTCCTACCTACCACAGTATAGCTAAAGCCTTGCAAGGGTATACATCGTTGTTCACTTTCCTCCCCCAAGATGTGCAAAACCATCTCTCGCTGCATCTGGATTAGTGTCAAAGATTTCCAAGCATCCCCGGATGTGCGCTCCTGTGCCCATGCCTCTGGATGTCCCAAGGAGATGGACCAAAGCAGCACCAACCTTGCGATTATTGGTTTCTGGTGTCACTCACCAAGCCAGGGTGATGTCTCCATTTAAAAAGATTTAAGTTGCCAAACTCTAGCAAATAGATGACTTCCTCCCTGGTAGCCCTGGAGACGCACTAGAGCCGCAACTTTTCTCGGACCCTTCAACCTCCCATTTTTCTTTTCTGTTTCCTGTAGCGTTTCTTCTAACTGCCCCTTCCTTTCCTGTTTACCTTTCCGCTCTCGCTTTCTGTTCCTTCCCCTCTTCTTCTCTTATTAGTTCATCCTTCCCTCTCTTCCCTGTATCACCTACCATCTTCTTTACCCCTCTGGTCCAGATTTTCACCTTAGAAAGGATCATGTTACCATTCTTCTAACTTTGCACAGCACACGAGTACTTAAAGGCACACACATATCAAATGTGTTGGTCATATCAGATGACCAGTCAGTGTTCTTCTTGGTATAAGGATGAGACTGCAAAAATCTTACACTGTAGTCTCGGGCACGGCAGCCAGGGTAGCATCCTGTAGATGCGCCCTGTAACTGCCCCAAATATTAGTGATTCAGATCAAAGAGAGCAGCCTGTGTCTGTGAAGTGTCCTGGGGCCATCTACAGGGAAACTCTGGGGAGTTTCTGACCTGCACAGCTGTGAGCTCTGCGGCCACACAAGGAAGGGGATGTTGGGGGCAAATCATCGAGAACCACGGTGTTTTAAGGGGAAGAGACCAAAGGTTTTCTGTTTTGTTTTTTCCACCAGTTTTCGGAGACAAGGTTTCTCTGTGTAGCCCTGCCTGTCCTGAACTCGCTTTGTAGACCGGGCTGGCCTTGAACCCACAGAGACCTGCCTGCCTCTGCCTCCCGAGTGCGCCACCTTCAGAGGTTTTTAAGCAGGGGTTCAGTGTGACTCACCTTCCACAGCAACAGCACCTTCCTTACTCCGTTCACGTCTGCCGGCCCCAGGACTCTCCACAGATCCGGGCTATGAGGAACTGGAAAGAGCAAGAGGAAGCTGGTAACCACGGGGATAGGGCTGCAGCAGCAGATCTCCACTGGGCCCCTGGGCGAGGCCCTGGGCGAGGAGACGCTTGAGGGGACAAATAAGGCAGAGAGGAGGGAGTCAGCCTTGTAATGCCCAACAAGGTCTTCATTTTGCTGAAGAACTGGAGTTGACCACATTTCAAAATAAATCTGCTCTTGTTGTGATAATGTAAATGGGGGGGCAGGTAAAATATACTCCATTGGGTACACCTGGTCCGCTAAAGCTGGGAGGAAACGCACAGTCTGGCGTCCTCTGAGATTTGACACCGGGTGTGTTACTACGGAAGCCTTTCCACCTCGATAGACCCCCCCAGTAGAAACGCTAATAACCAACAGTGAGAGCAGCTAACTCCCGGCAAGCACCGCTGCACGAAGAGTCTTCCCTGCATGAGCAAATGCAATGCCTATAGCCTCATCACTGTGGGGATTTGGCGGTGCTACCCTCATAGAGAAATCAAGGAACTGCCCAATCATACAAGCTCCAAGTAATACAGCCGGGATTTAAATCCTCGATATGCACCGTATGAACAGATATTTAAATAAAACTTTTCAAATCAATAGGTAGATAGCCTATAATCAATAGGTTGAAAGAAAAAAAGTAACAGCAGCATTTCAGTTTGGCTTAGAACTTTTGAACAATTATAAGGTCTGAGGTGACGTGAGTCAGACAATCATCACCCCATTATGAAGCAGGGAAACTTATGAGTTGGAAAACAAGAAGTTAGGAATTTCTGGAGTTGAGGCCATCCGATGATCTAGCTCTCTAAGATCCCAAAAAAGAATGAAGGAAAACAATAGCAGTGGAAAGGCCCCACTCAGAGCCAGCGTCCTCGGGGGGTGACATGTAAGTGTTGGCACGGTTTAGTCAGCAAATGGCAGCCAGCTGAACTAATGAGCAGAAGAAACGACAAACTGTGATGGGGGGGGGCATGAGGACGGTCTGCACTGAAAGGCAGGCTGGGCTTGAGACTGAGCCATGCTAGCACCATGGAAGAGAAAGGGTAGCCACAGAAAGACATCTGGACAAGCCACAGCCACACTCCGGGCACTGTTCAATCTCCGAATGCCGCGGTGAAAGGTGTCCCGGGGGAGAGGACAGCATGGGCAGGGGTACAACAATGGGTTCCTTCTGAAGATTTTAGGGAGAGTTCAGCTCGGACACGGCACTGACTATCCCAGCACCATTTGGCCATTTCTTACTGAGCATTTTATGTGATGTCTTATTCCGGTAGTTATTTGAGTTGTCCGAGCACTCAGAGATAATGTCTATAGAATGCATGCATGCCAATACAGTTTTAATCAGAAAGTTGATTCTTTAACACAGCCATCATTACATGTTAGGCCTGGTCCTAAACCTTAAGCATGTGGTTTTGGATTTTCTATGGTCTGTTGACCACATTACCAGAGCACGGAAGAAGCGAATCTCAGATGAGAAGGGCATAATTCTCCAGATGATGCATGGAGAGAAAGTTAGAGACTAAGCCTGAACGCCTCCAATGGGGATGGAAAGGAGAAGCTATCAGATGTTCCAGAATCTAACCTGGAATATGCTAAAGCTGAATATGGTAAATATCTGGATGTTCCAAGCTGGTCTCATGGAAACTCAAGCAAAATCAGGAAGAACTCGGGGCCGTGAGTACAGAAGTTGATCCCAGAGGCCAGAGTGTGAATTGACTTTTTCTTTCCCTTGCCGTCATTAAAAACATGACCTAATTTTCTTGTATTAGCACTACATTCATATACTCAGTAGCCATTTTTAAGGTTTAAGATGTATAGCTTCAACTCACTGTAGGATGTCTTCAGAGGAAATGATACCACTTCTTCTAGAGTGTAAGAATCTCCTAAGAAGGGCTGGAGAGATGGCTCAGTGGTTAAGAGCACTGACTGTTCTTCTAGAGGTCTTGAGTTCAATTCCCAGCAACCACATGGTGGCTTCCAACCATCTACAGTGGGATCCGATGCACTCTTCTGGCATAAAGTACATGCAGATAGAGCAATCATATACATAAAATAAATACAATTTTTAAAACTCTCCTAAAGAGTGTGAGAGAGAAGATCCTAGATCTCTGGGATCATAAAGCTGCTGTAGTAACTACACTCTCTGAGGAGCATGGCTCACTCCCAGGCGCTCAGCGGACACCATTAGTGCTTATGGAGAAGGGAGCTGCAGACACTCTGGGCCATGAGATTAAGGCACCAGGGACAGTGGAGAGTGGCGTACCTTCCTCCATAGTCACCCCCGTTTCTTCTTTACTCCAGTTGCTCCTAAATCTCGACTCGCTGGTTCTGAATCGTAGAGCTATGACATATTCCGTGAAAGCCTGAAGCCCAGTGAGGTTGTAGACCAAGTCGTGATCCTCGAAACTGACTTCTGTCTGAAAGGCAGAGTGGGCTCTGAGCAGAAGCGGGGGCAGCGTTCTGTTTCCTGCTTCTCTGCTTTGGCCTTGGTGCTTTCTCGCTGAGACATTTGGACCACGCCCCGAATCACTCTCGCGCTCCCCATCTCCATTTTGGAAGTTTGTGGGACTCAGGGTCCATGTCCACTGCCTTGGAGGCGCCACGCAGAGCCCCGGGACCCAGGAGCACCTAAAGTGACTCTGGGGCTCAGAAACTCAGCCTCACACTACTCCAAAGACTTAAGTGGCCTCAGGGTTAACCCTAATGTCTGTGACCAGCAAGGGGAGATTTCTCTAAGGCAGCGGCTCTCCACCTCCCTCCCTAATGCTGTGGCCCTTCAATACAGTTCCTCGTGTTGTGGTGAACCCCAACCATAAGACTATTTCATAGCTGTAATGTTGCTGCTGCTGTGAATCACAATGTGAGTGCCTCACATGCAGGATATCCGATGTGTGACCCCCGTGAAAGGTCGTGTGGCCCCCAAAGGGGTCACGATCCACCGGTTGAGAGCCAGTGGCCATCGGGAAAGTGTGAGGAAAAGACTATGGAGAACTGGATGCTGTGTTCCCAATTACGGTGGGTTTTACATGAATGCTGACTTAATAACAGTTTCCTAGATGCAATGTATATTTTGTTCACTTAAAATGTGATGTATATCTCATAAAAGATTAAAAAAAAATTAAAGTGGCCAAACCATAGTGTCTGGTGGCCAGTACTGCCATTCACAAACCAGGTTATAACACAAAAGCAAATCCCTACGTTTTTAGGCTGTCCCTGTGCTCAGAATACAAAATGCAAATTGTACAATGTGCTTCCAAGCTGAAAAATACAAACGGAAACAGGAAAGAACAGTAGACACTATTGATTTTTCTCCTGATTTCCATGCAAAAAGTGAAAAACACAGTTCCATGTAACGTGTATGGTTTTTCCGCCTGCTGCCCCTTATTTACCGCAATAGTTCCAGGCGAACAAAAGTTGTCAGTGCAGTGTTAATGCTGTAACTTACCCAGTGGGTGCTGTTGACAGTCCTGAACCGGACTGTGCCCCTTAGGTGATACAAAAGAAGCCTTTCCTGGGGTTTCCACCGTATCTGGAGCATTTTATTCGAAATTGGATTCACACTTAAAATTATAGGTGGTTCCGTTTTCACTAAAAATAAATAAATAAATGAAAACACAATCCTCATATTTACAAACAGAAGATACTAACAACATCCACCCAGAGTTAATGTCACAGTAACCCTAGACACCAAGGACAGTCCATACCCTGTGGTTCATTACACACAGATCCATGAGCAGACATCGCGGTTAAATAAGGATCAGGATAAACAAAATAGGCCGAACAGATGTTTATTCAGGGAGAAATAACTTACAACCTAGACAGACGAAAACCAGAAAATTCAACCCGATCCTCTCCTGTCCGAGTCCTGCCAGCAAGAGAGCTTTTTCCCCGGCTCCCCTCCGACCTCCTTCCACAGGTCACCTCCGCCCATGGCTCCCCCCCAATGGGCGTGGTCAGTGCCACAGAAGGACTATCTCACTATAAGGAGGAGCAAGAGAGAGCAAGGACAGGAAGTCAGGGATCAACCACCCAGCAACCCAGCCAGCGTGGAGTGAAAGGAAAGTTATTCAGAAGTAAGAAAGCTAAAGGCCCAGAGGGAAAAGGCAGGCGGTTAATTTAAGAAAAGCTGAGATAAGGCCAGGCATTTAGAGGTAAGAGTAAAGCTCCATGTTTGAGTTATTTGGGAGCTGGGTGATGGGCACCTCAAAAAGCCAAAAGAGCAGAAACAACAACAACCATGCCTTTTTATTTAATTTTAATAATGTGTGGTGATGCGGGTGTGTACACACACACACACACACACACACACACACACACACGGGTACAGGTGCTCGTGGAGGCCAGAGGAGCTGAAGGTGACTGTGGGCTGCCTGACGTGGGTGCTGGGGTTTGAACTTGGGTCTCTAGCTCCCTGGGATAGGTTTTAAAGATAGCATTAACTGTGTGGATCAGCTTTACGGATACAGTTACTGATACTGTTACTATAGCACATGTCTGGACAATTTGTAAAGAGAAAGGACTTGCTTTAGGGGGCTCAGCCTGGGCCAGCCGGCCCCATTGCCTCAAAGCTATTTACTTCATGACTGGGGTGCAACACAGAAGAGAGAGGAAGTGGCCAGGGCTCTGCTGTCCTCTTAAACACCCGGTGGCCACCACCCCTTAAAATGACACACCCCTCCAGTAGCCATGGGTGAGAACCGAACTCCCAACACAGGAACCTACGGAGAAGCTGAGTACATTCTTTTGGAAAACTAAAACTGTTTCTGCTTTGGGATTTTTAAAGAAAAGTGTTTGTTTATTTAAGCCAAGGTATCAGCCAGATACAGAAGTTGTCAGACGTTTCTTGCCTCAGTCTCTCACATGCTGGGACTACGAATGTGAGCATCCATGCTGGTGATCCTACATTCAAAACAGCTTGGACAAATCAGCCTTGCAGACTACAACCAGGATTTCTGCATCTTCTTAGGATTCCCCCATGACAGCGCCCTTTACCAACAGGAAGTAGTTTGGAAAGAACGACGCCCAAATTCCCAAATATTGTTTATAAATGTTTGTTTTCATTTAAATGGGATTGGTTATAAATGGTTAATGATCACAGCCAATTCTTTTTAAAGGTAAAAAAGGGGATTATGATATAGATATGAATACTTTGTTTTGGAATGGATTTTCATTTATTGATTACTTTGTTTTGTAATGGATTTTCATTTATTGATACAATTTAAGGTCAATTTTGTGATGTGTATATTTCTCCTTTTGTTTAGGTATTGTGTTTATATAGCTCATTCAGAAATGTATAATGTAGTACAGATTATAGATAATTACCTATGATAGTCAAAATTTAGTGTTAAGTTAGTTAGGTTTTTCAAGATACACAGAGATGTATTTGAGATAGATAGGCATTCTTCAAACCTTTCAAAGACCTATAGAATATGGCATTTAAAAATGGTTTAGGGTTTTTCTTGACAGTGAGACATAAATGCTCCTGGCAACACCACCTGAACCAGAAAGGAAGATGGTAGATGGACATCGAAGAAATGCATTATAAAGTTACTTCTAATATGGCAAGACTAGCCATGTGGACAAGACACTGCTCTTGTCTGGACTGTTTGACTTTATGCTGTATAAAATGGACATGCAGGACCCACAGAAAAGTGACTGCTGATTCAAGATGGACATTGCTACAGAGTTCCTGCTTCATGGAAGAGTCTGCCAGACAGTCTGCAGGACACAGAGGAGAGTGACGGACAAACTGCCAATACAAGAAGACAGTTTAAAGTTTCCTGCTTTGCTGAGGAGTTTGCCAGACACACTATGGCCTATGGGCTGAAGATGGAAGATTACAAAAGAACTTCGGGTGACCAGGCAGTGAGTTGTCTCTGTCATTTCTAGAGTTTATATATTAGCCTTCTATGGTCTTTAAAGGAGTTGAAGACGGATAGTTATGGTTATAGTTTTCCTTAGTTAGGATTAAAGATAAGTTACTTAGACTTTAGACACACAAAGATAAAATAGATTATGGAATATTTTCTTCAAATCTTGCTAAATGTTAATGGACTAAATATTGTTAACTGTGATTCTTATTTGATAACTGTTGTGTTATATATTTTGCTATTTTAAGGTTAAAACCCTTCTTTTTATTTAGACAGAAAAGAGGAGATGATGGGAGATGCCATTATGTAAATATGTTTCTCATACTGGTTAATAATAAAGCACTGTTGGCCAATAGGAAAGGAAGATAGGAGGGACTAGGAGACGAGGAGGAAGAGGAAGTAGTAAGGAGAGTCAAGATGGAGAGTCAGGAGAAAGCAGTATGCTGCCGGCTCCCCGGTAAGAGAAATACATAGATCAGCAGAAATGGGTTAATAATTAAGACAGAGCTAGCCGATAAGAAACAAGTAACCGGGCCAACAGTATTGTATCAAATACAGAGTCTCTGTGCATTATTTGGGGCTGGCCCAGCGGCGGGACAGGACCAGCGGAGGCAGGCGGAAAAAACGTACTCCTTACATCTCCTCCTTCCTCTGTCTCCTCCTATTTATCCTCTCCGCCTGCCAGCCCCGCCTGTCCTTGCTCCTGCCTCGCTATTGGCCGTTCAGCTCTTTATTAGACCATCGGGTGCCTTCGACAGGAAAAGAATCACAGCTTCGCAGAGTTAAACAAATGCAGCACAAACGAGAGCCCACACCTGAAAGTAATTCTCTACCACAAGGCACCTTTCAAAAAGTGAACTCAATGGCCTGGACATGGCAGTCCAAGATTATGACCCTAGCACCTGAGAGGTGGAGACAGGAGAACCAGGGGTTCAAATCCAGTCTTAGCTATAGAGTGTGAGGCCAACCTGCCCCAAAGCACAAAATCAAACCAACAAGACAATTACTCAGAATGGACCGAGTGGACTAAAGTGTGGCAAGTTAGGAACTTTAGGAGACAGCACAGCAAAAAACTAAGGTTGGTAATAATTTCTTTCTTAGATGCAATTCCTGAAATACAAGTAACAACAGAGAAACAGATACACTGATTTCATCAATTTATTTTGTCTAAAAAGACACCATGAAAAAATGTAAAGGATCAGCGAAACAAAGGGAGAAAATATGTGTACAACACCTAATCCCAGTAGAAAGAAAACTGGGCGGTGGTGGCGCACGCCTTCAATCCCAGCACTCGGGAGGCAGAGGCAGGCGGATCTCTGTGAGTTCGAGGCCAGCCTGGTCTACAGAGCGGGTTCCAGGACAGGCTCCAAAGCAATACAGGGAAACCCTGTCTCAAAAACAAAGCTGGGAAGAGGCCAGTGGAGTAGGACAGGGAAAAGTAATTGGAAGGACATAGTCAAAATATATTTTATATGTGTGTGAAAGGTCATGATGGCAGTCACTGTTAATTGTAATTAGTGTGGCTAATAAAATCCTTTTAAAAGACAACAAAAATGGGCAAACTTTTTAAATGAAAGGGTCACTGAAGATGCCACCGTGTGAGTCAGGACCACAATGAGGTCGTAATTCACACTCACCAGCCAGGACAAGTGTAAAGAGAGGGACTAAGTGTGTCGGAGAGGGCACGCAGAAACTGGAGGCGTCATAGACAGCCACGGTCGCAAATCTTCAAGCGGGCACACTGAGTTACCACACAGCACGGCAACTGCAGTAGATATAGACCTGAGGGAATTTAACGCATTTTCAAGCAAAGGTTTACAGATAGTCACAGATGCACCATTCATACTAATCCAAAAGTAGAAACAGCCTAAATGCACATTAACTGACAAATGGATAAACATAACATGATATATCCACTTCATGGGATGCAATTCGACCATTACAATGGAACAGAGTCCTAATAAATGACAGACTTGAAAACATAGAAGCCACATTTTTTTTTAAAGCCACATATTACATGACTCTATTTATATGAAAAGTTCCTAATAGGCAAATCTGTAGGGATAAAAAAAACGTGTTTGAAGTTGCTGGATGTTGGAGGAAAAGGCAAATAACTGATTGGGAACTTGCTACTGAGAAGTGTGAATCTTTTTATTACATTGAACTTAATCCTGTTACTGAATTAGTAGTAACATTTACACAACTTTGTGCATATAATAAAGTCACTGAATCGCACACTTTAACACGTTGAATTTCTAGTATATTAATTATAGTTAAGGGAAGCAGTTACTTTAAGTTATATGGTAAAGAAATGACTTTTGAAAAAAGCTTGAAAGATGACAATTGGTGACACTTTTTAAGAATAAGAGCTCCTCTTTTCCTTCCGGAGCCATGGTGACATGTTGGGGAAGGCCGTTCTTATTTCTCTGAGAACCATTGGTGTCCCATACTGCACGCGATCGATGGCCAGCCAGAAATCCCTTGTTTACCATTCTCCTTTCTCAGTGAATTCGGCGCCCTCTCCCTTCTCTCCATGTCTTCCCCCTTCCTTCTTTAACACTGTTTACCTTCTGTAGCCCCGCAGCACATACCTAATATTTCCTCAAAGCCCGAGTCTGCTAGAAAGTTCCTCTATTTTGAGAAGGAATTAGAATTACTCTCTAATTGTTCAGCGTCACCTACATCATCAGCCACTCACCTATGTGGTCCAAGTTCCAGCTTGTGACGTCAGATTTCACTTTCCCATCTCCATTTTGAGCTTCCACTTCGACCCCGCAGATATCTGGGGGTAATACACACGGGGGGTAAAAAGAACACGATGCCTTTCTGGCGGGAGCCGTACAGCTGTTTTTCCCAAAGGAGCTTTGAAAGGAAGAGGAATTCAACATGAGTTCAGTACAGACGTTTGAAAACAAAATCACACTTAAAAGTACTAAGCCGTATTGGTTAGTTTTGCTCTGTCAGGAGAATTGTGTGGTCCAGGATTTGTTTGGTGCATCTCTCTGCCAAGGATACCTGCTTCCTGCCTGAGATGCTGTAAACCACACAGACCTGACAGACTGTTGGAAGTCCAAATTGCAATCAACCCTGTAGACTACATGACAACACATTCCTGCTTTAAGGTATAAAGAACAGATTGTTCAAATTCCAGGCTAGAATCAGAATATCAAAGCCAGGGTCTTAACACTTTATCCTTTCAAGCCAGGGAGTGGTGGTCCATACCTTTCCTTCCAGCACTCGGAGGCAGAGGCAGGTGGATCTCTGTGAGTTCCAAGCCAGTCTGGTCTACCGAGTGTGTTCTAAGACAGCCAGGGCTGCATAGAGAAACCATCAGGGTGTTTGCTAAATAAATTATTACAAATATAAATAATATTTAAAATTATAGCTATTAATGTACTCATGGTTACCGGTATGGAAAGATGTCCCACCTTCTAATAGGATACATAGCATCTACAGATCCATCAGTTTTATAAAAACATACATCTATGTGATTTACCAGAGGTATTTGGGAAGCTCTTCATAAAAACATTAAATTATTGCCTTTTGATGGTGCAATTAAAAAACATTCATGTATTTTATGCTGAACTTTTTAGTCATTTATATATCAATTTTAAAAACTCATTGAGATAGATATCTATGCATACAGATAAGAGCTTGATAGAGAGATGAGATGATAAAGATAGAGGATAGGTAGATGTGCTGATCTGAATGAAAATGACTCCCATAGGTTCAGATATTTGCATGCTTAGTCCCCAGTTGATGAATCATTTGGGAAGGATTAGGGGGTGTGGCCTTATTGGAGGAGATGTGTCACTGGGGGTGGGCTTTGAACCCTCAAAAGCGCACAGTGTGTGTGTGTGTGTGTGTGTGTGTGTGTGTGTCCTCTCTCTCCCCCACCCCCTTCTTTCCCATCTCTCTTCCTCCTCTTTCCCCCCCCCCCCCGCTTGCTGCACAAGTGGATAAGGATGCGAAGTTCCAGTCTGTCACGCTCCCTGCCTGGTATAAAGGACTGACCTCTGGGCTGTAATCAAGCTCCCAATGAAGTGTTTTCTTTATAAGAGTTGCCTTGGCCACGGTGTGTCTTCACGGCAATAGAACGGGAAGGTGAGAGCAGGTGACCAAAAGATGATACATAAAGGGTAAGACCCGTGACTGATGGCTGGTTGACAGGCCTCTCAAGCTGTAACTGTCATGTCACTGACAGGAATCATGGGTAAGACGCGGGCACACGGGCCAGGAATGGAGTCGTGTGAGGAGAGTTCTGAGTGTTTGTGAGAAAGCTCCAAGAAAACAGGACAGGAGTCTTGTGGCCTCAGTTTCTGCAGAGCTCAGAACTGTTCTTGGGATGTGTTTGCATGTTCCTCCCAGGTGTAGCCGATAGGCGTGGGTTTACTTCAGATTACTCATTATTGCTTGCTTTAGGTCTTCAATTAAAGGGTTAAACTATCCCATGTATGCCTGTGTGGAAAAACGTGTTCTTGTCACATGCCGCTTGTGCTTGGGACTGTACACAGCTTGACCTCATGAGAGCTTTACTCATGTGACCCTTCTTAACCCTCAGAGTATAAGCTGCCTGGGCTCTGAACAAAGTCGGCTACTGCACGAGACTTCACCCCATCTCATTCACAGGCCCCGTTCTCCCCGGCGCCACGGCCTCCAGAGCACTCACAGGTGGGCACGGCCTATGCGGTCCTGAATTTGCAGAGATATAACAGAACTGAATAGGAGGCTCCATTGGCAAGTTTCCAGTGTGTGCTAGGGAGGGGCAGAGCTTAGACATAAGGAATCTGAGGATCCCAAAGGACCTGCAGGGTTTCTCATGCAAAATTGGCTCCCAGGGAAGTGTTGTGTCCTGGACACAGGCAGAGGCTATAGGAGGCGCTGTGTTTGAATGTTGGGTTTGTCTTCAATAGCCCTGTGACTCCAACTAGTTCCTGTACCTCTCTGTGCTGACATTGTCTGTAAAGTAGGGGGAGGTGACGTTTGTACTGCATAGGGGTCTGTGCAGAATGAAGTGAACCGTCATGCTATACTCTATGAATGAAGTAATCAGTAAGTGTGGGCTGTGACAGTTGTGACTGCTGTGGTTAACGTTTGCAGGTACACTCATGTCACAATCTTTGAATGGCGGCCACCATGTTCTTCTCTTCTACACTTCCAGATAGCTTTGAAGTCTCAACTTAAAAACTACCAGCCACAGGGTAGTGCCCGGGTCCTCTCTCTTCCCCAGGCTCCCCAGGGGGAGGTTTGGTCTGTTTTTCTTTTTCTATGTAAATATAAAGTAGACTTCTCTTTAGTGCACATATTCATGAGCACACACACTTGCGCGCGCACACACACACACACAGTCTCTGCCTCCTGCTGGAGCACACTCAGCTCCCACACTTACTAAGTCATCCTCACGGTGTAGTTGGTATCACCAGTCTCCTCTGGACTCCAAGTGCATGTCAAATTTCTTCCAAAGTATAAGATGCAGGAAATGTTCTCGGGTTTAGCTGGCAGGGCTAGGGTAAAGTCATGGAAACACATCTTTAGTGGACAAGAACCACTGTTAGCACTAAATAATTTAATCAACACCTTGCAAATGGCATTTTCAAGGTACAGCCTCCTAATGAGACTCAGGGAAAACATGTCACTTCTGATATCCCCTTTGAAGAGTAGATTTCTACTTTAAAACATACCTTTATATCCCTAATAAAAATAAGCACTTAGAAGCCAAACCTTGTAAATAAATATTAGAAGCAGGTAAACCACCCGGCAAGGCATCAAATAAACTCCTCAGAGAGCGTGCTTGTGATAGGACTTAAGAAAAATTAAAAAATGCTGATCTATGCCGTACCTTTGTGTGTCAGTCAATTATCCCTAAAGAAAGCATGTCTTAGAGCTGATAGCCTTGGCAGCTCTCTCCTGAACACTCTACTGAACATAACGCTTCACTGTAAACAGGGCTCTAGAGTTACATATTCACAAACAGCAAGGGAAATAAACATCAGAGCAGAGTCCAAGAATGGCGTTGTGTGAGAATTCTGAGTGCTTGTGGGAAAGTTCCAGGAAAACACGTGTCTCGTGACCTCAGTGACTTCAAAGCATGGGACTGTTCTTGGGATGTGCTTCTGTGTTCTTCCCAGCGTGGTTACTTCAGATTACTCATTACAGCTGGCTACTGTTATTTGTTTATACACCTCTATGGGAAAACATGTTTTTGCCATGTGTGGCTTGTCCTTCTTATTGGATACTTTACTCAGGTGACTCTTCTTAACACTCATAGCATAAATTGTTTGATACTCTGAATAACGTTGGCTATTGCATGAAGAAGTCAGCTTAAGTTAGGATCACATATTAAATCAAAGCCTTAGAGCTTCCTAGAAAGGAAGTCCCTGTGTGTCAAGGGATAGGGAGGGCTGTGTTGGGGAGGCAGCTCAGTGGGTAGAGGGCTTTTCTGTAGAAGCCCGAGGACTTGGTTCGGTTCCCTAGCAGCTACATAAGAAGCTGGGCAAGGCCAGTCATGAGCCTTGAACCAGCACTGTGGAGGAAGGAGATAGGATTGTAGCCTTACTGACTGCCAGTCTAGCTTCAGAGTCTTCACCACAAGAGCCCTGAAGAGATAGGCCAGAGAGTGAGAGAGCAGGACACCCGATACCCTCTTCTGGGCTTGGTGTGGGCACAAGCACAGGCAAGCACACACATGCACATGGACATGCATGAGCGCATGTGTGTGCGTGCACACACACACCCACACACACCTGCATGAGCACACACACATGCACACGGACATGCATGAGCACACACATACACACATACACACACACACACACACACCTGCATGAGCACACACACACCTGCATGAGCACACACACACCTGCATGAGCACACACACACACCTGCATAAGCACACACACACACATGCACATGCATGAGCACACACACACACACACACATACACACACGCGCACATGCATGCTCATGCTCGCACACCCACCCTCATAGGAAAGGAGGGAAAGAGGAGGAGGAGGCATTGACGGTAGCGGCAAACCCATCCCTCCCTCCAGTAAGGACCAAGTAAAGAGGAGATTGGAAGGGAGGGAGGGCAGGGCATGACAAGTATGCGAATGAGCCCAACCAACCATCTCGGGCTGGTACCCAATTTACAGGGCTCAGCATGAAACAGTGGGAAGTCTAGAAGAAGCTAGATTTTGGCATCAAATCCAGCAAAAGGCATCTACGACCTGAGTGGAAGAGGGGAGGCCTAGAGCAACTCTTCAGGTGAGCTACCTCTAGGTGAGTGTAGCATCCAGGGATTCAGAACCCTTACTGAGCTTCAGGCGTGGGCTGGGCTGAGGGTGGGATCAGGACGAAGGATCAGAGGGACTTCCAGACCAAACGACGTGGTCATGAACTTTAAGGGTAGATATAAACACGATGCCCCAATAAGTAAAGCCAGCCACCCCACAATGAGTAAGAGGAAAGACTGGGCCGTACCACATGGTCCAGAGAAGAACACTGGAGCGGAAGGACCCATCCTACCAACCCTGTGTAGCACAGGCCGCTCTAACGCACAGACGATCAGAAGACGGGACAACAGGGAACTGCAGGGATTTTGGCAGTGGAAGTTCTTATCTCAGAAGGACCGAGTTAACCAAAAGACACCGGAAACCAGAAGAAAGCAGGGTTAACAGATTTAAGGGATTGCTAACCCTCCTCTATTTCTGCAGCCCAGCCTGACATCTTCCAGCAGGCAAGGGACTTTTTTGTTTGATTTAGATTGATCACAGAAAACACAGTGTTCCTACTCCTCTGCAGTACCTGAAACGATGGGATCTGCATTCTAATTCTGCCTGAGTTAAGTGACCCTGGCCTAGAACCAAGTCATAGTGCACGATTCATGGAGATTAAAGCTGGCCTACCTGCCAGGCTGACTCTGCAGAGTACTGGGAGCATCCACAGTGCCCAGGTCTGCATTGTTCCGGAATTCACACCCAGAGGCTGGAGACAGCTCAAAATGTCATCAGTCAAGTGAGCGGTTGCTTCCTGTCTCTCTCTAACAGCACGACTCCAAAGACAGATTCTAGGCATTTGGGCAAGAAGAGTGTTATTTCCATCCTACACCATCCCCTCCATCCTCCCTTCCACCCCCCATCCCATTGGCCGTCTGTCACCACACAGATCTTTTCACATTTATTATATCACCCCAGTCCCATTTTAAAAATGTGTACTGGCAACGGGCTTTCCTTTTGTCCACAAAGCACACCACTCTGCAATACCCAAAGCAAATGGCCACGGATCTGTACAGGTTGGAGGCCAGCTTCTAGCCTTTGCCTCGGTTACTGAGCTCTGGACCAAATAGAAGAACACAGAGCTTCCCAGAAGTCCTATTCTATTTCATGTCTCCAAACTGTGTGTGTGCGCCTACCAAGGCCCTTTCCCTTTGTAAGATTATGTATACACTTTGCTTTTGTACCTGGTTCTTAGCTTTGTAACTCCTTCCCCCGAGGCAGACCATAGAAAGTAAAACTTTTTTCCTGAGATGAGTCACGGAGACTCATTATGATGGGAATTCTGATTCCCCCACTTCCCTTTATCCTTTTCTCCTTCCTTGCTTCCTTTGCTAAGACAGGGTCTCACACTGAAACTAAGGTTAGCCAAAAGCTTTATTGGCCAAGACTAACCTTGAACTCACAGCAGCAATCTTCCTGTCCCAGCTACCCTAAGTGCTAGGATTCCAGGCATGAGTAACCATGCCAGCTTCTCCTACATCTCTGTCTAATGGGCACACATGAACCCTCTGATCTACCCGCCCTTCCCTGTGGGATCAAGTGCCATATAACTCTTGTCACTGCAGAGGAAGCCCACTCCATTCCCTAGAGAAAGAGGGCCTTCACACACAGACTTGCTGGTTTTTTCCACCCAACCTACTAGCAATCAAGGCTATACAGTGTGTGTGTGTGTGGAGGGGGAGCTCAGAGCCCAAAGGACATGGCTCCAGGAGCTCTGAGAGAGATGAAGATTTAGATGAATTAGAGGCTTCTGGAGATGTGTGGAAGCTCCACACCTCCACACCTTCTGTGCATCTCTTTATCTGTATGTTTTCTAATAACCTTTCATAGCAACCTGAGAAGCCTGCTTCTCTAAGTTCAGTAGGTTGTTAAAAAAAAAAAAAAATTAGCTGAATTCAAGGAGGAAGTCCTAACAACAATGATTTATAGTCAGTTGGGCAAAAAGGACAAATAAAACCACCCAAGGCTAGCAGCTGCATTTTTGGGGGAGGGAATCTTGGGAGTTTGTGCTTCAACCTGGGGGGTCTGATGTTATCTCCGGGAAGATAGTATCAAACTGAATCATAGTAGAGGACATCTGCTACGGAATCAATTGTTTGCTATGCAAAAAAAAATCTCCACCCATCTGCTATCAGAAGTTTCTGTGATAACTGCGGTGTAGCAGCAGAAGAAATGAAGGCATTTTGTTTTGCCCACCACATCCTTATTCCTGGCAAGTTAATCACTTTCTTAGATGAATGTAAAGACCAGTCTATCCTAGGATGCCTTCCCTGAGCACACGCTGTACCTTCTTTTGAGCCTCACCCCCTGAGTTGCATGAGTGGTTCTCAGAATATTCTTGCTGCCTTACCCACATCCTGGCAGCTTCGGGAGAATGAAGCCTACTATATGGGAGACACTCAGTACTGCTTATGTAGCGTAGCTGATAATAAGGAATAAAACAAACGCTAGCTCAAGGCTAGGAAACTCAAAAGATGAGGTAATGTAAAAGCATAACTTATTCCAGGAAAAAATGAACAATGCTACATTTTCCTGTGACAGATCATGCATCTGTGGCACACGGACGGTGCTAAACAAAACAAACAAAACAAACATCAAATTTCTGGAAAAAGCTACAGGGATAAAATTCTCTTACACATAGGAGGACAAAAATGCCTACTAAATGAAAATACCCAATCAGTCCAGATGAGGGCTTGGACCTACAGGAGTAGAACCGGTCAGGTTCAGGAGCGGTGACGCATGCCTGCAATCCCAGCACTCAGGGGGCTGAGGTCTAGGTCCAGTTGTGAGTTCAATACCATCCTACTCGCCTTAACAAGTTTGAGGACAGTTTAGGAACAAGCTCAGTTCCTAAAGCCGAGAAAACAGCACAAAAAATGGAAACGTTATCAATGAAATAGAGGACTGCTGGATGTAAAACAGCAGCAGTCAATGCCTAATGCTACTCGAGAACTTCTTCACTTGACACGAAGCCACTTGGATTTAAATGAGCATAGAACACCGAGGGGAACATTTAATCACCCAATGAAGAACAGATAAGTTTTTAAAAATTTAGCATGCTGGCCAGCAAGATGCCTTAATGGGTAAAGACATCTAGTTCCAAGCCTGACTCCCCAAGTTCAGTCCCCAGGCTCCACAGAGTAGAAAAGAATTAACCCCTGCAAGCTGTCCTCTGACCTCCAAAGGCACATTGAGATATGCACCACACAAATGTAATAAAATAATTTATCAAGACAAAAATATAAAAAAAACCAACAATTAATCATTGCACAATAACATTCTTCTGCTTCTCATTGTTAGAAATGTGTAATAATCTGTTTCTAGTTTTAGGAGAAAATGTGTCTTTTAGTCTTCACTTTATTCACATGTTCAAAAGGCATTATTAGAAAGGGAGGGAGGTCTGGATATGGAAAGTCCATAAAACAGATGACACCAGTCCAATAATTGAGTCAATGAATAATTATCTATATAATAAAACTGAAACCGTTACCAATAAGTTACTTTTCATTTCTAAACCCATGGCTATTTCATGCTAATGGTTTAACCTATGATATTTTTAATTAAAGCTCATCATCCCTTCATTGCTTCATTGTGAGAACACTCACCTGTTATCTGTGAAAGATTAAAAAGAAGCTCACAGCAATATCACAGCCGGAGAACTCGCAGTTGAAGAGAGAGACTTTCTAGAAGCCAGACACACTGGCAGCTGGATTCCTCGGATTCATTCAGCACTGCGCACAGAGAGAAGAGCCCAGCTCCCACGTCCAAGAGCTGGGTCCTGGCTTCTTAACAAGGCATACAGAGACAGAGGACAGCCAGAGCTAGCAACACCAGAGCGAGCTGCTGTGACTGATGGTGATAGCTGTCATGCTGTAATTCCTCCAGAGAGTTTGAGCACAAAACTGGTAGAAGTCTTGGGTTTCCTGGTAGAGTTGGAAACCGATTGTGACCTTAAATATCGCGTGGCAATGATAGCTATGCAGGGAGGACACAGACTACAGCAAGAGCTGCTCTTAGGATGTGGGTCCCACTGTAATGTGCATTTGCACAGGGACTTTTCCTCTTGCCATTCTTACTGTAAAGAATCAGAAAGAACTGTCTGTTGGCTGGAAGTGTTAGTAGATGAGTGGACCCTTCCAGTAGTTCAGAAACAAACTCAGGGACTTCAACTAGTCAGTTCTGCGTACGGAGGAAAGAGGGAATCGGGTGGTGGTCCCTACACAATTGAAGGGCCCGAGTTCACTCAAAGCCCCAGCCAAGGACCTGTACATCGTCTCAGAGAGGGAGATATGGAGAATCTATCTTCATAGCTGGATTTCAGGTGGAACAATCCACATGGGAAAGTTAGACCACTGCGCTTTATTAAGCCAATTAAGAATGAACTGAATTCTCTGGCCAGCCGACCAGCAAGCTCACGCCTAGGAAGAACGCTAGCTACTCTATTAGGAGCCAGCCTCCATCTGAATCCCCCTAACATCCTTAGGGTCCTAGTCCGGCAGTGAATAGTACACACCCCTATGAAAGAGGCCCCTCACACTGTGCATCCTCCACCAATGCGCTGTGTCCTTATGCTTTATTGCAATCCCTCCCTCTAGGCCCTAGCCCTAGGCTCTCTTTCTCAGCCAATAGAATTAACTCCTATTGTAAGGGTCACTAGGCCACAGGTTTAAATGCGGAAGAAAAGTAAGTCTCAAGGTGGGTCTCTGGAAGGCTCCAACCAAGTGCCTGTAAGACGGATCCGTGTCAAGTTTCAGCCTTCACTTTCTGTGAGTCATCCCTGCCTGCCCCCTGCCACCCCCACACACACACAAAAGGCAGTGAGGCTTCACTGATGCTCTTAAAAAACAGGAGTGATTCACTGTGTAATAGTTGCTGCACAACCACTAGGACCTGAGTTCTAATCCCCAGAACCCACGTAAAACCCAGGTATAGTCACACCCATGCCTGTAACCCCCAGCTTTGGGGTGGATGGGTGATCACTGGGGTTTGGAGCTTCCAACCCAGCTCCAATGAGAAATCTTTTCTCAAGGGAATGTGGTACCCAGTGCTAGAGCAGGATGCTCTCATTCTGTTAGATGCTGATTCGGACCCTACAATAACAATAATGGTCTCAGCTTTATACAGCACTTACACAAATATTTTCACTTAGGTCCTTGAAGTAAATTAGATAACTTATTTGTTTCGTATTTATTTACATTATTTAAAATTATGTAAAATATATTTTATCTATTATGTTTTAGGTTAAGTTATATAAAATTGCTATTTTCATAAGCCAAACTCAGCCAAATATTAGCAATTTAAACTTAATAAGTAATGGTTCCCTTACTTTTTATATGAGGGTATCAAACGCTTACCCAGTATGATATTAAGAGATGGCAGATAGCCACCTTCAGTCCTAACGTCAGTAAGCCCATTGGGGAAGTGAGCTATTCCAAGGAAGACTGCTCTAAAAGGCTAGACTGGCAATCACACTACCACATGTACTAGTAAGAGCCCACCGGGTGTCAATTTCGTTGCATAAATTGTACCCTCAGCTACAAATCTCAGTAGAGCTGGCATTATCTCCACTTCATAGATAAGCAAATTGAACATCAGAGATAAATATTTTTGAAATGTTCACAGAAGAAAAAAGCTTACAGTCTGTGAAGGATAAAGGCAAACAAACCCAACCCCCACCCCCACCCCCAGTACAAGTTCTAGACTAACACTGTATGGTAGCTCTCA